TATATTTATACAGAACTAGTCCTGCCTGTCCAAGTGAGGTCAAGAGAGAAATGTACGTGGTATACGAGTAGAAATTATACTTTTATATTGCTTTTTTGTTATATCTGGATATTGACAGCACCAAAAATATTGGGCTTTCGCATGTTTTAAGCATAAACTTAAACATTTTTTTTTTTTTAATTACTGCCATTTTTCTAGAAATGAGCATTAAGGTGTACAGTGTGAATAGCAGTATTCTGGTCTCTTTATAACTATCTAAATACTGTAATGTAATTTATTTCCAAGTTAAACCTGACCAGTTTACAAAGACAAAAAACATTTCTTGAAATTTTTTTTTTTTTACTAAATATGAATGTTTAACAACATGACCAGAAAAGAAGATTTTAGTACTGAATTTATTTATTTTATACATTTAGTTTCCCAAAATATATCTACGTGTTAAACAGCACAATGGTTTTCAACATTGATAATAATCAGAAATGTTTCTTGAGCACCAAATGTGTGACAAATGTCATGTGACACTATAAATTATATCAATACACAATATATTAAAAAAGCAAAATGTTTTTAAATAGTAAACTTATTTCACAATATTACCGTTTTTATTTATCAAATAAGCCAGCCTTGATGAGCATATGAGATAAAAAATAATATAATGTTTTTCTAACATATACTTTGTTATCGTTTAAGTTTAGCTTCAAGCTTAAAGTTGACTGGTCCATTTTAGTGAACTATTTGAGGTGAGGTTCAGCTTCAAAGTTTCCTGCGTAGACAATCTCAAGATTTTGTGTGGGAGATATAATATGGTGTTACAGTCTTTAATCATACCTTCAAATCCACACCTCATTCAAATTCAGATTCTCCTCTATTCCTCTGAGAAGAGTAGAAATTCTCCTCAAGTCTTGTGTCTTGTGCCCTCAGCTCAGGGCATTTCTGATTGATTCCACATAAAACACGTGTCTGGGACAGCTAATGGACCGACGGCTGCTGAATGATGATTTAAATCAAGACACGTCACCGAGTTCGAATGGCTCTCTCTGAAACAACCTCGAGGTTACGAACACATTCAGAGAGCAAGTTTTCCTCCATGTCCTTGTCCAACTCTGCAAGGTTTGCATTTCTCAAATTGCTCACAGTCTCCACTTTAGTGAGTTGCCGAAGCCAGACATGAGAGAAACAGAGAGCGAGGGCTAACAGAATGGGGTTGAAGGGTCATGTCGAGGAGACTAATTGAGCTGACAGAGGGAAGTCTCTACTTTGGTATCACATTTCATTGGTGACCTGTCAGAATTACCCAGACTCTAAAGGGTCATAGAGCCACTTTCTGACTGCACAAAATCTTTCTGAGTAAACTTTATAGTTTGAAAGTTCTTGCTAGTAGTGACGCTTACCTTAAAGCTACAACAATATGTAATTTTTTCACCGCTAGTGGTCGCTGACCTCTTACAATAACAAAGGCGTAGATTGATGACGCAGTGAATAAGCGGAATCATGGGACTTGCTTTCATGCTGACGGATCTAATCATGTTTATGGATGAGTGAATACGTTGATGTTTTTAACATGACTGTGGTGTGAAGTAGGGCGCGATTGCTAATGAGAGACAGATATCAGCGTCACACGCGAGTCCCGCGGATATAATGAACATTTAATTCTACAGAAGTACCCTCAAGTGCCGAATTACTACTCACGTGTCAGTTTATTTGACTAATTAAACTTGTAAGGTAACGCAGTAAGCTGTTAAGCATAAAACATTGATTTGTTTTATGCACATTTGCTCACCTGTCTAATAAAGTGCGGCGTCTCTGTCAAGTCAAATTTAGCCGCGGACGCTAGCTCTCAAAAACGAAAACGGCGAAAACGGAAACGTTGTCTCGAAAACGCCGATATTGATCCTCGTTTTAGTTCTCCTTTTGTCCTAAAGTCTGCTTGCCATGATCCATTATGTTTGAACGGAACAACAACAGCGTGCCGGCACCGCTATAGACGTAACGCAGTTGTCCACATCTGTCGCCATGGTTACTACAGCAGTACGAGCGGGTATTGCATCAGGCGGGTATTACGTGGATATTACGTCTTTGACAGGCGACAAGTGACATGGGACGGGCACTATTTCAAATTGTGAATTTCTCTGAATTTACAAATGATTGGAGACATTTAGGATAATGTAAGTAGTAAGTACACAATTGAAAGAAATATATAACACTGTGCACGTGTTTTTTGGATATTTTTGATACAAAATTTGTACATATTGTACCTTGAATCCCTTTAAACTTAACTTTAAATGTAAGCTTCCATTCTATCAAATATTTCTAATAATCTATCCATCCATCCATTCATCAATCAATCAATCAATCAATCAATCAATCAATCCACCTATACATCTAGTATTTCTAATCTATCTATCTATCTATCTATCTAAACTTTCAAAGTATTTCACACTTAAAGCTACTTTAAACTAGAGCCAGACTGATAAACGATTTTGAAGGCCGATACCGATACAAATATTTGTTGGTTTTAAAATCCGATATTCCGATATATCGGCCGATGTTATTATTATTATTTCAGAAACGCGCAACAAAATATTAACAGATTTCCCTAACATTAGTTATTTGTAGTTATTTATGAGTTTTAACTAAAATAATATGATAATGCATTTTAAAAAGAAACTTGTTTCTATTGTCAAAACAGAACAGTGGAACATCAAAATATTTTAAAGTTCTGATAAATTAAATAATAATTAGTCCCTACCTTGCCTTATAGTTATAAGCTACCTTATAATTATGTCAGCTTGCTTATCCCTATACCTGCACTTTTTGACAACACTCATGACAAGGTTGAAGCGTGATTCGTCCGTTTTTATTTTATTTTTGAAATATTCATTTATCGGCTATTATAACTGCCGATACCGATATTTTAGAAAATGCCTAATATCGGCAGATAATATCGGCCTGCCGATATATCGGTCTGGCTCTACTTCAAACTTTCAGGCTATGGGCTTTCTCAAGCCAAAATCTAAATTTGTTCACACATTTTACTCGCCTAGTTTTACCTATTTTGCTTCCGTTATGTGACATATTTCCTGATATTCAATAAGAGAAATGTTGGACTGATTTTTTTCCTTCAGAAATCGATTGGATATAATATATGCACTGATGAATTGTCCACAATAAGGCCAAGAACATGTATTAAGGAAGTAAATGGGATGATGATTTAACATCAATTAAAAAATACTTGTTTAGAATTATAACGTTTAAATATTAATTGTGCATTCATTTAGTAAATACATCTACTACTACGAACCATGAACATTTTGTTTAGACATTTAAAGCGGGTAAATTTAGGTTTGTTGTCATCATTCAATAGCTTAACTATTGGGTCAGTTCTGTTCATTCACCCCAGCATGAAACATTAATGATTTTGTTCTTGCCGCAGCAATAATTCATGTTACAGACTTTTAAAATGCAGCTCTAAATGTTTGATAACAGCATGGTCACTGGGGAATATAGTAACTGGGGTATTTCTTTATCCGGTAACCCCTGTACTAACCCAGATCACAGCTGATAACTAGTGCTGATGAGATCATGCACACATAAATTCATTTTAAAACACGGCCACTGATTAGCATATGAAAAGCGTGGTCTAATAGCTAAGTTTTACACACATGATGTGACAGTGTTTTGTTCAGTTGGGTTTTATTCATTCGAAAATAAAAAAAGAAAAATTACAAATCTCTTTATTACCGGTTCTTTCTCCTACACAGCAATGAGATTAAATAGAGAGAGAAAAATTAAGAGATTCAATGAAGTCTCCTCCTGCCTGAGAAAAAAGAGAGCAGGAATCCCACACGTCTTTAATAGTGTTTCAGGACAAATCTCAATAATGTCTCAAACTATATGCTCAATTTTTCCAAGATAATAAAAATCTGAGCTGCTATAATCACATTAATAGCTCTATCCTCTTACTGTCAGTCAGCAATTAGGCATTCTCATTTTGCTATGTGCAGACTGGTGATCACCTAAAAATATCTAGCAAATGAATGCATTCGAAATTTACAGTATTTCTCTTCAGGGATGACTGGTCATAAATATAGAATAGTCATATTTTTTGTCTGTATGGGAAATGTACAGCACTGTCCAATAAAAACCTTGAATGGCAGTTTGAATCGTAAACACAAGAAGAAAGGAAAGTAAAATGTGCTCCTCAAGACATTTCATATGGTTTCTTAAGCAGGATGGAATGCACTATAACAAATAACTTCAGTACGAGCTGAAGAGGGCCAGTGGAGAAATCACATGCAGAGGTAATTATGACAAGGCCAGAGGTTATGCTGTTATTAATGAAAATATGGGGATGGTTTGTCCAGATGTATGAAAATAAAAATGTGTGATGCTGGAACTCTGCATCACCTAAACTAAAACCAGCTCATGCTGGCAAGATGAAAAATGCCTGTTCATGTCTAGACATACTGATAAAACTACATCAGACCATACATTACAAGTCATGCCATGGAGAATTACTGAATGCCATTATAAAAGGGATCCAATTCAAACCATCCAAAAGCCACCTAGCCTATACTTCAAAACTTAATTAAGAATAAAAATGATTTATATGCAGGGTAACACGTTTATTAAGGATAAATTAAACATAAACATGACAAATGCAGCATCAGGAGAGGAGAGCAATCCAATAAAATGCTTAGAATTATAATAACTGTTTACTCGCTATCGCCCTCTGGTGACCCGGACGTATATTACTATTTACAACACAACAAGTACATTTTCAATCATTCAGTGTTATTAATTGTAACGTGATTATACAGACTTAAAAGCCACCGGCAACCACGTTTTCAAAACAAATGATAACACATCAAGGAGAACAATCTTCTGAAACAACTTTTCCCTCCTGAAACAAGTTATTTTTAATAATACGCGGTTGTGCTCGTAAACATTGTCACATTCTGTGACATTGCCTGTAAGGAAAGCCACAGCAATGATCTTACCTTTACAGCCAGGTGAATCCAAGCGTAGTTTCGGTGTGTGTGATGCTCAGAAGAGTGTGTGTGAGAGTGTGAAGGCATCTATGCTCTCGCCGACAGCACCGCCTCACACCGGGACGGGACGAACCAACTACAACTGCTAGCGCCTGGCTCATGAATATTAATTAGGTCGTGCTGCCCTTGCTCCGTTACTTGCCTATAAGGAAGGTGTTCTCATGAATTTTAATGAGTTTATGCTGGCGTTGCTTCGAAGCCTCTCTATGGCTACGGTTTGGCTCATTTACATAAAAAACAAACAATTAGAACTAAATTCACCTCTAGGACAAGAAAACAAAATTCACCCCTGCCAGGATACTAATAAAAGTGCCCTCAGTGGAACAGGCTATAATTTATCTTAAACTATTACATTACAAATACATTGTTGTATAATTATTATGCATGACTATATTATAGTGTTTGTTATTTAACTGAAAGTTTATTTAAAATTTGAACAGCCTGGTGAAGTTGTTACCATTCATGTATGGACATGTTTAGGCACTTGTCCCTGTTGAAAATAAACTATTGAAAGTAAATAAACAAATAATTCTCTCATTATTATCATTTAGGCTACTTTACATTTTCCGTCTGTCTTAGTGCACAATGTAACTACAGAAGAGTCAAGTTTTAAATAGGAAAAATATCGAAACACTTTGGTAATTTTTGGGGGAGAAATGCTAATGGTCTATTGTGCACTTCAATGATGTATGCTAAGCTATGCTAAAAGTGGTAGCTACCGCCAGAATCGGACATCGGCTGAATGGATTCAAAAACGGTAAAATGTATGTATTGATGTATTGACTGAATATTATTATTTATTTATTTTACTTTACATATTTACAAAATGACATAGTGTACTTTTAAAACACACTTTTACTTTATTGAATAATTCATATTTATCTTGATTTTACTTTGAATTCTTGATATCTCATTTCTCAAATGTCTTCATCTCAATTATGCTCTTCACTGACACTGTTGTCTCCATATTAGAAAAGTAAAGTACGCTAACCTAAGTGTCAAAAGTTGATTAAACACTCCCATATAGCCTAAATGTAACCTTAAAATGTTGAACATAAAAATACATGTCCATATTATTAATTCACATTGACAGGCAATATTAATGCAAAATAAAAACATAAATCACCATTCAGTGATAAAATAAAAAAGCTTTGACAAAGAATGTGCTGGTTCAAAGGCTGAGAGATCATGTGAGGTTGGATAATGTGGTATTTGGCACAGGAACTGAGGCAGGTATAGTGGGGTTCAAACACTATTACAGGGAATTTGCCAACTGGAAAGTCTTCAAGGCACTTTTTACAATGTAATCAGATGTTTTTAAAGGATTACATGAACAAAAATTCTGTATCTCGAAGGCAATGAGCGCTGAGAGAAGGTAAGTATAGGCCTATGGATATATTTTTCCAATATACTCAGAAATCTTGTGCAATGCATTTATAGGAAGGGATGCCTTCAGGCAAAAACATGCTGTAATATAGAATACAGTATAACAAAAATCTGTCAATCAACAGAGATACGTCAGTTATTACAAAAAAAGATATTTGCACATGAGACTTTATTGCAATGACTGACAGGTTGACTCTATGAGATCTGAGAAAATGGAGATTAGAAATCAGCAACTGTCCGTCACAATAAGTACAAGCACTTATGTCAATTTGAAATGAGAAGTATTAGTACGCGTAAAAGCTAGTGGATGTTACAGATTGAGCTGTCAATCATAGGTTTCCACAGGTGTATTGAATCTCACATTTCTGCTGTAAATCATTGAGTGATGAAGTTTACTTCAACGCCTGGAAAGCACATGGTGGGGTGAGAATGAACTCCTTCAGAATTAAAAACAGATGTATGAACAGTCTATCAAAGGACGATCGACAACCAGAGCTTGTCTTTACATTATTTTATCTACAATTCATCACAGATCTGAAGCTGCTTTGAAGCTCATCTTTGATATCTGATTGATGATCATTTGTTGGTTTTTTGAGCACACAAAGAAACAAATACTTCAGTATTCTCGCATATAACGAAGCATATAACATCAAAAGCATGTTTCCGGATCATATTTCACCCTAAAAGTAAATGAGGGCTATTAATTAAGATTAAGAACAAGAATCACCATTAGGAATATTGGGAATTACAAGGAAATTGTCAGATGTATTGTGTGTATTTTTTGCATCAATGTATATTTTTACACAACAACAATGTGCTAAAAAGGGAAAGGTTTTTCCTTTGCTTTTTCACATACAGTCTACAATGCAAAAAGGACTAAAATGCCTTTACCTAAAATACCTAAAAGGTCTTTATTAATTAATGCCAGGCCAGGGGATGGTGATGTCACACATTTTACTCCTATAGACCAAACTGAACATAGACCTAACCTAACCCCCTGATCCCTAAACCCACCCCTAAACCTACCCAGCTCCACCCCCTGATCCCTAAACCCACCCCAAACCTATCCAGCTCCAACCCCTGATCCCTAAACCCACCCCTAAACCTACCCAGCTCCACCCCTTGATCCCTTAACCTACCCAACTCCACCCCTGATGCCTAAACCTACCCAGCCCCACCCCCTTGATCCCTAAACCCACCCCTAAACCTACCTAGCTCCACTCCCTTGATCCCTAAACCCACCCCCAAAGCTACACAACTCCACCCCTCAGATCTGTATCCGACTCCGCCCCCTGGATCTCGTGTACTGCAATGAGGCACTACTGGCCTCCACACCTGTTAATTAGTTTCTATGGTTACTAATTATAATGTTATCGCACCTGTTTCTGTTTCTGGTGATTAGCTGTGTATTTATAGTCCTCCGTTCCCTACTGTTCTGGATTCCTTTATGTTTTTCTAAATATTCTTTGTTGAATTTTGGATTTATTAAAGATGGTTTGTTTGATACTGTGGATTTTCATAATTATCTTCTCTATCGTTTCTCCGTCAATTAAGTAAAAGAGCAACAATAAATGTTTAATAGATGATTTTAACCAATAACCTGATTCAAGAACATGACAATTATCATAAAAAGTATTTATCACATGTATGGACACTATGGACAGCCCCTGCTATTTATGCCATATTTACACCTTGATTATCTAGTGCTTTTGCTCTAGGACTGTTAGATTTACATTCTATGTAAAGTGGTGATCCAACACAATACTAAACCCTCAACTTTCTAGACAGTATTTTCTTTTATATTTCAAAACGTTCTTTAATTTTCTGGTTCATAAGACTGTTTGTTTGGCATCCGCCTATTTGGACTGAAGCTTTTACTAAACGACATGAATTAGAGCCAAGATTTATTAAGTCTATTTATTTTGCTATACTAACATTAGCATTTTGACTTTTGTTATATTTTGTGCATTTGCCAGACCTGTGACCCATTTTCCGATTGTAACCCACAGATTGAGAACCACTGATGGAGATCTGAGAGTATTCAGGCACAGATATCCGTTGGTTGAGAAATTCTGATGGATGATTATTATAGGATGTCCGTCTTTGCACCCACACACAGCACTGATGCCCTTCTATTTTCAGTGTTGAAGTGATTAGCCTCTTTAATCAGAGCTGACGGCGAGAGCCAAAGAGAGATGTCATATTGAAATACTGCACAGATGGATTGGAGCCGGAATATGTTTATGAACGACAGAGGCGTGTAGGAGTGTGTGTGTGTGTGTGTGTGTGATTATGTGGGTGTGTCATTTCCAGTCACTCGTTCACTGCCAGTAGAGAAAAAAAAAAATGTAATTTATAGGAGTCAGTGCGAATATTATGATCTCACCATCCCATATAAACTCTCTGTAAGAGAAACTCTCTAAAGAGAAATGATGTGATTAATTTTCCCTGCCCCCTCCTTCATCATTTCTTGGATTGAAGCTCCTAAATATGATATTTGATCCCTCTCCAGAGATGTTTTTTGATGAAATGGTTGTGTTGAGATGTGTTGGTGTTTAGATAACAGTAGGCAGAAGTAGAGCACAGAGGTGTCTTTAGGAGGTCAGCACTTACTGTATCATCATTCTCTCCTCCTCTGCACTTACAGCCATTAATATTACATGAGCATGAAAGATCGAGCGTTAGTCCTCCGAATGTATTCGGCACAGTTCACCACTGTTCTCTAACCTAATAAAATACATGGAGATTTATGAAAGTTCATTGTCACATGATTCAGCCAGTGCCTTGCAATTAGCCTTCATAGGTAGTCATTCAATTGATGAAGCTTTTGGGTGAATTTTTTGTGGCGTGTGATTTTTTGAGGTGTGTTCAACTTGAAGCGGCGCTGTACAGACGTCAAGTCAAGTCACTTTTTACAATACGGATTGTTTCAATGCCGCTTTATTGTGATTTTAACAGGAAAATGATGCAACAAAGTTTGTCTCTGCTGTACAGCATCTAGAAGTCCAGCGTAGCCCTTAAACCGTATTCAATTTAATCCTGTAATTGTGGACAAATTATTCTAATTTTTATTTATTATAAATGTTATGTCACTGTCTTCGATAAAGTTTTGTCTATCCATTTATGGTGTTTTTTTTATTTTGGGGTATTTTTGAATTTATTTACTTCAAAAAGTACCATATTTTCTATGTAAATTGTGCTTATTTTTATGTTTTATTATATTTTTTTTAACTACATTAAAATATCATTCCAATAAGTTCTTAGTGTAAAACCTAAAGATGAAGTGACTTTGCTGTCACCTGGTGTCTTATTTTGGCTTATTTTATAATCTAAATTACAGTTTTTCCCATTCATTTCTATGGGTGCCCATTTTTGACCCAAATTAAAGATTAAGTTAAGGAGTTTTTTTTTCACCCACTTAACATTGTAGTATTGAGTCAAAAAAAATTGTGTGTGTTCAGGAGGCAAACTTAGGAAAAGGAGCCAAGTCTTGTACCGCTCAGATCAAGTATTTTTTTTAAATAAATCAAAACTATTTTGCCGACATTTGTCCAGAATACAGTTTTAGGGTTAAGTTCAGTGATGGTTTGTTGTAAAACGTATTAATTTTGATCATATATTATATGATATATGGTGATTATATATATATATATATATATATATATATGGTGATTTATATAGAGAGCAGACAGCTCCATATACTGTACATACACCAATTGGTTTGTGTAGCACCACTTCAAACAAATGATTCATTTTACAACAGTTACATTACCTCTCTGAATGAATACTTTTATTCATCAATGTTGTGTTTCAAATAATTTGGAGATATTTTAAATCGCTTGCTAGACTCATGTATGCATCTACAGCCTTTTTTGTCTGAAGGCTTTGCAGAACTCTTTAGATTGTGGTGTAATGACAACACACACATCAAAAGCAAAAGGAACACTAGATATCAGTGCAGGTTCTAATCACTTTATTATTATTATTATTATTATTATTAATAATGTGAAATAACTACAAAATGTAATTTGATAGAGTGTATCATCTTTTTTGAAAGGCACTGTTTCAAAGAGGATTGAAAGTTTACCATGTGAAAAAAGCCAACTATTTCCATGGGATTAACTTATTTTTTCACATGACTGATCATGAAAGTGTACTTTCCACAATGTCTGAAACAACTTCCCTTTCTTGTTGACATCTTTAGTTTGTGTGTGTAACTAGCCAATCCGGCAGTGTTTCAGGAGGCCAGAACTCTGCAAATTCAATTAACTCTAGTCTCATAGGCCTTGAAGAGTTTGCTGGGTAATTTTCGGGCCAGGCTGCACATACTGTGATTAATAATACAAGCAATGTTGAGCAGCCTCATGGTGTTTACATATTGATCATTCCTTTTCAGTCAAACACTGAATTATCCATCAAACTTCCCTCTGGATCTGGGTGGACAGATGACTAGAGTCATTACAACTAAATATTCTGCTATTCATTTTCATAACTAATGTCAATGTTCTAAACCTGTCAGCAGTTCAGTAATTCTGAGGAAAATGAAAAGAGGAATGTCATTAAAATATAAATAAGCTGATGGTATGGCATGCAAAAGCTGAGACATTTAAAAAAGGGGAAAATTATGCCTTGATATGCAGCATACTTAAATCCTATTTCTTCTTCTTCAACTAAATTTAGTCAATTTATCTCTTATAGAGCTTTAAAGCTACAGCACCAAAATCGCATCAGACCTTTAGACTGTTCGGATTTTACGTTTTTCATTAAACGGACAATCAAATCAATCCCATAGACCTTTGAAAAGTTTTCTATTTAAGCTTCATCCACCACTTCATAGCACCTAGCTGAGGACATGCTAGCAATGAGTTACCTTAAACATATCAATATGCTAATTCAATGGGCTAAAAATATTAGTAACATGTTAAATCAGGCTAGCAATGTGTTAAACATGCTTTCAAAATGTTATTAAAGTGCTAAATCATGCTAACAATATGCTAAATCATACTAGAAATGAATTAGCAATGCTAAAACATGGTAGCAACGTGTTCATTCATGCTAGGAATTTGCTAACTCATGCTAGAAATGTATGACATGATAACACATGCTAGCAAATGTTAAATCATGCTAGTAATGTCCTTAAACAGGCTATCAAAATGTTAAAGTACATTGAAATGTGTTAAAACAGGCTAGCAACATGCTCATTCATATGTGCTAAAACATGCTAACCACATGTTAAAACATAATAGCAATGTGCTAAAACATGTTAGCATGTTAAAACACACTTTCAGTGTGTTAAAACATGCTAGCAAAGGGATAAAACGTGCTTGCAACATGTTAGCAGTTGGCATGTTTGTAACTTTAATTCTGCTAGCAAAATGCAAAATAGTGCTGAACACGTGCTAAGACAAGCTAACGACATGATAAAACCTTAAAAAAATAATAACATAATATTTGTCCAAACAAACTTTAATTTATAGTTGATGTCTGAACCCCTTTGAATATAAAAATTTATATTTTGTTGATTTTCTATAGCTGTATCCAGATTTCTATCAGGGTCTCTCACCCTTGTGAGAAACAAAGCTGTTGTCAAAAGTCAAAGACACTACATTGCTTTCGACATGGGGAATTAAACGAGAGCAAAACAGGTTAATCTCCACCTCTCTTTCCTTTAGTCACCTAATACTATGAAAGGCGACTGGATTTGTGTGATCAAACAGGCTCTTAACATGTGTCGACGTTAATATCACAGTCACAGGCGCTGTGAACTCGCTCAACTTCAGAATTCAGGGGCAGGAAGACTCATGCCCCATTTCCAGAACAGCTTTCTTTCTTATTGAAGTAAATATTAGATTGTTAAGAGCATGTTGTTTTGTGATTTGCTAAACCATCACATGATTTTAAAAGGCATGAGGGGCTGAAAGGCCTAAATGTGCTGTAAATTTAGCACAAGCTTAACTGCCTTGTTGATGATGTTCACGTGTCTCTGTGAGAATGAAGTCGTTCTTCAATGCCTTGCGTTAGATTCCTTTAAGAGAATTAAATTTGATTAAGCAACATTTAGAAAAACTTTTGTAGAACTTGTTTTAAAACAGCGATGTTTAGCCAAGAACGAGTGTTGTTTGTAACATATTAAAACAGCTCAATTAATCTGAGAGGTTTGCTTTTCATTAGCAAGGCAAACAGCATCAGGAGAAGTGATTCTGCATTTGAAACTCTTTCGTTTTCATCGCTCTCTGAGGAAATCCTTCTCTATTTATGCGCCATTAATCACTTGTCATGTCACACAGCTGCTCTGCTCTGAAGTATTTGAAAGCATGTTAAGCTCACCAAAACAAACTACACTCTCATTTTGGCTGAGCTTATGAACGTAATCAGTTTGATGCTTTTTTTCGGTGGGTAATAATATAAATAAACTTCCCCTCGTGCATATAAAACTGATCTTTAAATTACATAGCCTAACACAAGTCAAATACACTCTTAGAGTGTTCACACGTGGCAGGCTTGGTTCGATTAAGAAACAAGCAGACTGAGCTTGCTGAAAGAGGTGGGTTTTTTGTTTTGTGTCTTTACAAAATAACAGTGTGAGCCCTAAGTGAACCAGGACTAAATTTATAATTTTCTTTTTTGGTCCGGACAAAAAGAACCAAATGGGAACAAAACAATAAATGTGAAATATAAGTTCCAAAAGGGTTTTTTTTTAACCAGTGATGCCATATATTTATGTGTGTGTGTTCCAGGTAAACCCTATGGGGACAAAATGTCAATTCAAATTTATTTGTAAAGCATTTTTTTTTTTTTTTTTACAATAAATTTTGTTTCAAAGCAGCTTTACAGAAAGTGCATTTCAGAAATGTAGCTACATAGAAAATACAGCTAGTTATGTGTTTATTTAGGGCATAACATATCGCCAACGTTGAGTCGTCTCTTCACATTGTGTGTTTGTAAAATATGTTTTTAAGTATTTTAATAGATAGTATGTTTGATGTTATATACTAGGCTATATTTTCACTATTCCTAGCATTCCTAACATTTTCAACACGCTGTGGTGTCTATCCTATAGTCTTATTTGTTTCAAATGTATTTTGAAAAGAATTTATGTTTTTGCCATATGGAATCAATATTTTATTCAGTGTCATTACAAGCCCTCCAGCAAAACTTCCACAACGTTAAAATGGCATGAATGAAACTGGTTTCTGTTCGCTTGTTTTCTTCAAGTGATGTGCAAAGTGTTTTACAATCCACCATAGGAGTAGTCTGAGGGTCGTAATGAAGGAAAACAGAATGTAGAGATAAAAGAATGATGAGGTGGTGGGTGGTTATTAAATAAATATGAGCCAAACCGCAAGCTTTGCTTTTAAACGCCTGAGAAGCACCTGTGATGGACACATCGCTCAATGACCTGCAAGAAATCTGCAGGTAAAAATAAAAACTATTTCCGCTCACTGCTTTTAAAAGTTTTCTTTTAGTTTTAGAGACGTAGACTTAAAATAGAGCAAAGATATTACGTGCTGTGAATTTGCAGGAGAAAACATCCTATTGAAAAGTGAACACACTCCAGACTGTGCTAAACTGTTCTCAGAAAAAAAGCAATTCTGCTTATTTGCAAAAGCCTTTTTTACTTTATTGGCCATTTCAAAGTCATGGAACATGATGGATGAAAAAGTTGTGTGTGTGTGTGTGTGTGTGTGTGTGTGTGTGTGTGTGTGTGTGTGTGTGTGTGTGTGAGTGAGAGAGAGAGAGAGAGAGAGAGAGAGAGAGAGAGAGAGAGATATAGAGAGAGAGACCTTAGCGCCATCTGTTGTTTCTAAACTTTATTGCAAACCCCATTTTCAAAATAACTAAATTTTTATTTTCACTGGCATGCCGTGCAGTGTATTTTCAGAATATAAAAACATAGAAAAAATAAACAATCAAAACAAAAAAATATAATTTAGCCTAATATAAAATAGACAAAATATTTATTACAAAATGTAATATTTTTTTTCTGTAGGTGGTTTGGTCAAAATGCTACAAATCGATATGCTTGTGTTGTCATTTATAGAAACATATTGAAAAAAAAATTATTTCATTGCATATTTCAGAAATTCCAGTCACTGGTACATGATTATAACTTAACCACATGGCAAGAAAAAAAAAATGATAGGATACAAATAAAAAGTTAGTCATCGCGCTCATTAAGGATTTATTAATTTTTTCTTGCTTGTTTTTGCTGTTGTTTTCCCTCCCAAAAATATTAAAATAAAGAAATATTAAAAAGGAATAATTATTGTAAGTAGGAAAATCCTATAATTGATTAACTGTAAAAACAATGTTCTAAATTTTGATTGTAATAAAGCCTATTTTAATTAGATAAAATGTTTAAAATCCACATAACTGATTTTGTGATAATAGAAAAGTAATACATATGATTTTCATGTTTATAAATAGTTTAAAATTATATATTGTATAAAATGATAAGAAACTGTGCTCTCTATCCCAACACTACATTTCCCAGAAAGCATTGAGACCGGAAGTAGCGTCACTTTGTAGGTTGCTCTGGTTGCGCTGCTACGTGTTCGGACAAGGCAGGAAGTTGACATGTCACAGTTACTCCGCTGTGTTTTACTCATTGATTAATAAGAGATTTGCTTTAATAGTTGCTGATACTGCTGTCGAGCAGGTGAGTGTCATGGTTTTACACTGAGAAGGAGCGACATTGTTAGCTAACTGCTTTACTTTGTTATTATGTAGGATCGAGCCGAGGCCCATCATCACACACACATACACACACAAACACTGTAAAGCTTTGGGTTTTCCATTTTAAACTAGCAGGTTAGTTACTGTATCATTGCTGTCAGTCGTCATACAAGGCCAGACTGTCTGTGTAAAACAAGTAAGAGTGATATGACTGATCTAGGATCAGATTCAGCTGCATGTTTACATAGCAGGCCATATTTATATAGGAAGCACAAGAACTAATGAGCTGATTGATTATGAACCTTAATGTCTAACCATTAAGGTCTACTGTACAGTCTATGTGTGGTATTCAAATTGTTATTGAGTTTGACTTATTCTTTTGCCAAAACATAACATTACAAGCTATAATTGTTTATAATGACCCAGCCACTCAGAAACAGTCAGATAATTTAATCCTAATGAGATTCACAAGATTTGTATGTTAAGTCTGGACTGGTCAAAAATTTGCAAACATTACTCTTTTTAATGTTTTTGAAATAGAAATCTTTTCTAACAATATATGTCTTTACTATCACTTTTTATCAATTGAATACATCCTTGCTAAATAAAATTTTTATTAATTTCTATTTTTTTTTTAAAAATGAAAGAAAATTAGTGACCCCAAATCTTTTGAACGTTAGTGTATATAGTTACAAAATATTTCTATTTTAAATAAATGCTGCTATAAAAAGTATAATTGGTTATAAAAAAATACTAAGCAGCAAACCTGTTTCCAACATTGATAATGATTTCTGAAGGATCATGTGACTGGAGGAATGATGCTGAAAATTCAGCTTTTATCACAGGAATAAATTGTATTTTAAAGTATATTCAAATAGAAAACCATTATTTTAAATCGTAATAATATTTCACAATATTACAGGGTTTGTTTTTTTCCCTGTATTTTTTTGTTAAAATAAATACAGACTTGATGAGCAGAGATAGACTTTTTTCAAAAACATTAAAACTAGTAATGTATCTAAACGTTTAGCTGGTACTGTATGTCTTCTATACGACCAATAATTTGCATGTTGTATTTTTTATTCCTCTCTCATCCGAGCAGAATGTTGCCGACGAGCTCCCCGCAGATCCAGCGGAACGGCAGCCTCAGCGAGCGGGACGCGGCGCGGCACACGGCCGGAGCCAAGCGCTACAAGTACCTGAGGAGACTTCTGCATTTCAGACAGATGGACTTCGAGTTCGCCATATGGCAGATGCTTTATCTGTTCACATCACCGCAGAAAGTGTACCGCAACTTCCACTACCGAAAACAAACTAAAGACCAGTGGGCCCGGGACGACCCTGCGTTTCTGGTGCTGCTCAGCATCTGGCTGTGTGGTGAGCACTTGCGGTTGATGCATGAGACAGACTTTGGAAATGATACCCTCATTTGCTAACTAATGTTATCTGTGCAGTGTCGACGGTGGGCTTTGGCCTGGTTCTAGAAATGGGATTTGTGGAGACGTTGAAGCTGTTGCTCTGGGTTGTTTTCATCGACTGCATCGGGGTTGGATTGCTCATATCCACACTCATGTGGTAAGGTGCCACACACACGCTGACAAAAAATGTGTGCATGTCCTTAAAATCAGCCTACTGCAGTTTTGAGTGAGGATCACAGCTATATTCATGTTTTTAAAGTCGCCATAGAAATCATAATTGACAGCTCTTATTTTTTTTTACAGAATGTTGCAGTGTTTATTATAAATGCTTTATCTGTGCACATTATTATTTGTTTCAAGTTCATATGCCCTGGTAATCTTGAATTAAAAACCTAAACTCAATCATTGCATAGTTATGGAAATTAAGACCATGATGACGCTGTGTGATCTGACCAAGAGGAAGCATATAGATTAGAAAAAGAAGAGGGAAATGGTGACAGAGCGAGATTTGTGTTTATTAATGCAAATAAATTGTGAAGTTAGCCAATGAAAGTACCAGTGATACCAATAGCCAGAATCCATTTTTTTCGTTCCAGAAAAAAATTTCACTCGAATATACGTCACAATAGGGAAGAAAAGACTATCGCAACTTTCATTTCATGCCGACTTTAATGTTGAACTTGCTCATATGTTATTGGTTATGTTTTTTTTTATTGTTAATTTCAAAATAAAGTGCATTTTTTCTGCATTTTATTTGTAAAGAGAAATGTCATAGTTTTACAAGTATAAAGCTGATGTCTTTTGTATTTACTTTGACTGGCTGACTACATTATCCTGCTTAATACATGCCAAATAAATAAATGGATGTGAAATATTGATCTTGCTTATTTTATCATGTGATTTATAATTAGGAGGTTGCCTGAATGTACAGTTTAGTGGTTATTATTATGCTATAATGCTTGTCGTAACTGACCAATCATAATCAAGTACTTTAAAGAATATAATAAATCAGCATAATTTTACTAGAAAATGTCATGAAGAGGGTTTTTTTTTTTACTGTAAAACTGTACAGTAATCCCTGTCTATTCTTCTCCAGGTTTGTTACGAATAAATATCTGATGAAACCGAGCAGAGATTATGATGTGGAGTGGGGCTACGCGTTTGACGTCCATCTAAATGCTTTCTACCCTCTTCTGGTCATTCTGCACTTTTTACAGCTGTTCTTCATCAACTGTAAGTAAAGATGTGTATAAATGAGCTGTACTGTTTTCAGTTATAGACTTTGAACGCATCTTGCTCTCTTGACAGATGTCATTGTTACGAGTTCAGACTGGTTCCTGGGTTATTTTGTGGGAAACACCTTGTGGCTTATTGCAATCGGTTACTATATTTACATCACATTCCTGGGCTACAGTGGTAAGTATTGTGATAGCTAGTGTATTTTTATTAGGGATGCACGATATATCGACCACCATATCGGTTACCGGACGATATTTGATCAGTTTCAATGTCACCGGTCCGATAAGATATCTTGAAGCTGATAAATAATGGATTATTTCCTTTAGCTGAGACGCACACGATGGTTTTGAATTGCTTGAAATATGATTGGAATCATGTGCAGTGCTTGTCTATCCTATAAGCTACATAAAATTGTAATCAGACTCTCAGAAATTATATAAAAATTTAGATTTATCGGCCAATACATCGGTTATCAGCTTTCAAATTTAAACAATTATCGATTACCGTATCGGCCAAAATTTTCGTTTCGCTGCATCCCTAGTTTTTTACCATCCATCGTTTTTTAAGCTGAACATTGTCTAATTTTCTCTTCTTGTTTCTTTAGCGCTCCCGTTCTTAAAGAACACGGTGGTGCTTCTGTATCCCTTTGCTTTGCTGGGACTCGTGTACGTTCTCTCCATTTCACTTGGTTGGAACTTCACTAAAGGTCTCTGCTGGTTTTATAAGCACAGGGTCCAGTAGAGGACGCCAGAACACATGAAGGACATCGCAGTGCTCTTAAAGATGGGTGGAAAGTTTGGTGTCGCTCTTGGGACTTTCTGAAATTTTGTATTATCTGTAAATATCATTTTGGTTGTAGAGGAAAAGAGTTTTAGTTGTTTATGGTGTCATGCCTTTTTTTTTCTTCTTAATTTGATACTCAACCCTCATTTAATGTTGTGATGTGGTTTTGAAAATGCAAACATGGGGAGAAGTGCACGTCTGCTTGGATGCTGCACTTTTTACTTGTGAGAATGTGTACAATAAAGATATTTTTAAAGAAACTGACTTGTAGTTTATTCAAATATTGCCATGAAATGTAAATTTGTGAATCAAATATATTTCCCATATTATCTTTTGTAGCTGCATCTAACATATTCTTAAAAATGTTAAGGTTTTTTTAATTGAATTACAAAAGGTTCTAAAGAAATTTAACAAAGAACTCAAATCCAGATAAAATACAATACTTGCTACATAAAAATAAGTATAATACAATATCTGTATTGATAATCAAAGAACTACATTTCGAGTTCGTTCGAGGGATGCGTGGAAATCTTGTGAGGTGTGACATCACAGGTGCGCGAGCACCTCCTTTGGAAGTTCTCGCGCGCACTCAGTCATCGGCCACGCGCCTGCGCGACACACGTGACGTCAGACAGCAGCATGGCGGCCAAGGTGACTCCAGCGACACTGTATTTGACAGAAAATTTTATGTTTATCATTCTTATCTGTCGACTCTTAATTGCAGTTGGGGTTTATTAGAGGGAGAAAAACTAATAGATATGGAAACGATATCAGTAGAGAGAGTGGTTAAACGGTTTTAACGGACCGGCCGGCGCGAGCATCACTGAGCTTATCACTACGCTCGGGCTGAGACTTGACTGAGAAGAGTATCTGTGAGGATCATAAAACCATAAAAAATATGTGAAATCTGCGCTAAGTCGTATTAATCAGCTCTCTAACAGCCTTTTGTGTTGTTAGATATGAGCTTTTGTTTAGAAAGTGAAGTCAGGCGTGTGATGATCATGCCGTGTTTGAGAAATTGGGCTCATTTTATTCTTCAGGAACTCAATGGCTTCATGTGTGTTTGTGTTGATCAATTAGTGGCTGGTTTATTTTTCGTTAATTTGTGCTTTTTAAAAACTTAATTTAGTTTTGCCTATATTTGTAAAGCCAGAGAGTCCCAATAATATTGAATTTGCCCTTACACCGCCTAAAGTGTTTGGTATTTACGTCAGGATTTGGGATTGAATGTAGTTTTGACAGTTTTCTCAATATAACTTTCATCCTTGGGATGAAACTAACGAGTTTTGTCATTGACACCGCTACATCTGTTTGGTTAAAACATACCGTACATTTCATTAGATAGGGCAGGGCTGTTGTGACTATAATTATGGGTCAAAGCTCTTTAGTTTCAGGTTCCATGCCCTTTAACCTTATAATTTTTTTGTGGTTTTACAGGTGCAGTCAACCAAAAGGGCCGACCCTAACGAGCTGAAGGTCATCTTTCTAAAGGTAAGATAAAACAGTAGAAATCCTTCCTTATTTTCGTCTAATACCAGGAAATGATGGTTTGTTTCTTCCTTTATACTGTAGTAAATTGAGTCCTTTGAGCAGCTTTGAATCGTCTGTGCAACCTTAGATGCAAAAGTCAATAGTGTCATGACTTTGGTCTGTCATTCAATCTTTATTTTCCTTAGTCACGCTGCATTTTTAATTTTCGCGGTGTTGTCGGTAAGTTTAGGATGCTTAAGATGTCAGGTTGACTTCAACGTGCACATCATGACTGATTGGAGCAGTCTCCTTTTTCCAAAAGCAACACGGAGACAGACATGCATGCCTGAAATCGTCGCCTGAGTGTGATTGTGGGTAAACAATTTGTGTGTGTACTCTTTATTTTAAAACATGAGTATTAGGGAGACACTATCTTTCTCTCTCTTTAAATGTCACAGTTAAATGTCTGTTCGTGTAGGGATTTGTGATCACTTCCGCCGTCGAAATCTTGTGGGTCTGACAGCCAAGAGTAGTTGTTTCTTGGGCCGCTTTGGTGTCTGGTAACAGTGACTTGTGTACGATGTGGCTCTATTAATAGGACTCAACCATGTAAGATGGATATTTTGGAGGAAGACATGAATGTCAGTGATGAGTGAAGAATGTCTTGAAAAAGTCAGAGGGCATCTCCGGTCAAAATTTTGCCCAGATTATTTTTCTCAAAACTGGAAAATACACAACTTGCTCGGGTTGTGAATATTTTGCCACCTAGTTATTCCACCTGCCTAGTTGTCCCAGTAGATGGATGTTGGTACTTGATAAATAATATTGTAGCTGGCTTGTTGAAAACTAAAACGGTTGCCAGTGTTGTTACACCGCTAATAACAGTTTCGTTTCCTTAACACTGGAGGAATGCATAATAATACTCTTAAAGGGATAGTTCACTTTGAATTTTTTTTTTGGTATGTTTTAGCTTACCTCAAGGGCATCCAAGATGTTGGTGTCTTTGTTTCCACAGTAGTTTCAATTTTGATATTTTTTGGTCAAACCGTTGTTGTCTGTCAGTCATATAATGGAGGTCTATGGTCACCACCTCAAAGAGCATGCACAGAGAAGTCCAAATTAAACATGATTTAATGACTCGTAAATGTAAGTACACATTGATGGCCTAAAACACGAAACGAGCGGTTTCTGTGAGAAAACACTCCTTGAGGTGGTGACCATAGACCTGCATTATATGACTGACAGACAAGAACGGTTTGACCTAAAAATATCAAAATTGAAAATACTGCGGAAACAAAGACACCTACATCTTGGATGCCCTTGAGGTAAGCTAAAACATACCAAAAATGTAAAATATAGTTATGCTTTTTAAGCCCTGTTTGATGTATTGGTACATGACATTGATTTTTGAACCATGTTTTTGAGGTTAAAAAATTGCGTCACACATGTGTTATGCTTCATATCCAACACAAATGCTGTAATTGTGTTTTTTTTTTACCCTCAGTATGCCAGTGTGGTGGAGAAGGATGGAGAGCGGTACATGACACCCACTGATTTTGTGCAGAGGTATTTGGGCCTCCACACACAGCTCCACTACAACCCTAAAACTGTGCAGCTGCTTGCCGGAGTGGCGGACACCACAAAAGATGGGTGAGACGAACGTCATATTTTCTGTTTATGTACTTATTCTAATTATTGATGGTTTGATATGAAGCCTGAACCTTCAGATCAGCTCAGATCTAGAACTTCACTCACTTTTGTATTATTTTCTGCTGTAGCAGCCAGATGCGAATGAGATCAGTTTGAAAATGTATTGCACACACACTACTGTTTTTGAAAGTAGTGTGTGTCTGATCAGGGATGCATTTATATGTTCAAAAATACAGTAAAAACATTCATATTTTGAAATAGTACAACTGTTTTTTATTTTAATATATTATAAAATGTAATGTATTCCTGTGATCAAAGCTGAATTTTCAGCATCATTACTCCAGTCTTAACGGTCACACTGAAGTTCAGTGATTTGCTGCTCAAGAAACATTTCTGATTATTATTATTTAAAGTACTTGTGCTACTTAGAAACATTATAATAAATGTCTTTTCTTTCACTTTTGATCAATTTAATGTGTCCTTGTCGAATAAAAGTGTTAATTTCTTTAAAAATAAAAGCACTTTTGAATGGTAGTGTTCATGGCATAATTTAGAAAATTCCGTTTTGTACATAAAAATTATGTAGTTGCAAGTGATCCAACTAATGTTGAGTTTAATATAATTATTAAAAATTGAGCTTGTGCATGTCCTAATGTATGATTCTTCTGGCTTTTCATTCAGGTTGATCTCGTTCCAAGAGTTTCTGGCCTTTGAGTCAGTGCTGTGTGTGCCTGATGCCCTCTTCATCGTGGCCTTCCAGCTGTTTGACAAAACGGGCACTGGAGATGTGTCCTTCGGTGAGAACAGTAGTGACTGCATATAAATGTTTCGTCTTATTTCTTCTGTACACTGTATTTGTGTGTGCTATGGGTTTTTACATGCTAACATCGAACTCCATAAAAATTAAAACAGAGTCAAGTATTTGTGTGGTGGTGGAGTTTCCTATGTAGGTCGTTCTTGTTAATTCACTTATGAGGTTTCACTTAATGCTGCCTATGTAGACAAGGCAGCTCACAATGTTTTTGAACAGAGCCGTAGTGTTTTATTCCCTTTTACAGGGTCAGCTGATCATAATATAGTTATGCTTGAAAAACAAGCAGCTTAACCTTGAACACAGTCATTCTCTCTCTCTCTCTTACACACACACACACGTTCATATGTTCAGCAAAGCTATACAACACTGTCAGTAATGCTGTAACGTCTGCTATGGACTGCGGGAGTGTAAATCCGTCCATGTCCGTGTGTTTACAGAGAATGTGCGTGATATCTTCAGCCAGACGACCGTGCACCACCACATCCCCTTCAACTGGGACTGTGAGTTCATTCGCTTGCATTTCGGCAATAACAGAAGCAAACGGCTCAGCTACCTGGAGTTCACCCAATTCCTGCAGGTATCGTGCCAAACATTTATACATAAGAATAAGAATCTTTATTGTCATCGTATGCACACAGTAGTACACATCAACGAAATGGAGTTAGCAGTTCTAAACCAAAGGCATAAAACAATAAGTAATAATAAATAATTAGTAGAATAAAATAAACAGTAGAAATATAATTTAAACAATACACAGTATAAACAGTAGTAGTGTTGTTGTAAAGAGAGTACTTTAAAAACAACTTTAAAAATTAATATTACGGGTATGTGCATGATTTTAAACACTATTCATAGTAAAACAGTATATTATGACAGTAGACAGCACAAACATTAATACAGCAGCACTATAATAAATAATAATGTTTACTGTTATGTGCCATAATATGCATGTTAAAAGGATGCATAACAGATATATAGCTCATTTTGTAGTTACATTCTCAGGGATTCAAGTTATCCCCATAAAAACTGGACAATCTGATGGGTTTTAGAAGATTAAATACAACCCGAAACTAAAAAACAGACCTGGCCTCTATTTGAGTCCGGCCTTTATTTACCCAAACCTGCAGCCACACCAGGCGTGTAAAAGAGACAGGTGTCTATTTGGGACTTGGCTATTATTTGAAGTTTTACGGAATATATTTCATGCCTGTGAAGGAGCCAATACGCTGAGTTTCGGTTCATTTATGAGACGGTTCACTTGCAAAGCAACATCGCGCTGGCGCCTTCATGAGCTGATTATATTGTCTGCTATATTTGCTTTTCATT